CTGTTAGGTGAAGGGAATGGAGAAAGACTGGGAGCAATTATCTTTGTAGAGGGAGCAACAAATGGAAAGCCTAGAGGTGAGAAAGAACATTGGAGGGGAGGAATATAGAAAGCAAGGTAGGGTCCGATCATGAAGAGCCTTTGGAGTCCTTGTTAAGGATTTTGGATTTTATCCTAAGTGCAATGGGAAGTCATTGAAAGCTTTTAAGTGAAGGGGTAGCGTCAAATTTGCCTTGTGAAGAGATAATTGCCTGCAGGGTGGAGGATGGTGGAGGGTGGACACCAGTTAGGAAGCTGTTGTACTAGTGTTGGTGAGACTGGTGTCCTAGACTAAGATAGTAACAGAAGAGATGAAGTAAAAGTAAGTAGATCAGAGGTAGGCTTAATAAGATTTGGTGGCAGATTTGTTTTAGATCATGAGGAGGAGGGAAGAGTTAAGGATGTCTTACAGGTTTCTAATTGAAACAGTTATGTGAATAACTGTCTTTGAGAAAGGAAAACGGAATTAATATCACACTGGAGATAAAGATTCAATTTAGTTTTAAATATGTCGAGTTTGAGGTGTTTCTGGACATGTCTAGTTGTCTAGATGTCTACTAGGGGCTACTACTAGTCTATATGTCTACTAGATGTCTAGTAGATTATTGAAAATATATGTTAGGAACTCAGGAGGAGAGGTCTAGTTTAGAGATCTAGATGGATTTAAGTGTCACAGATAGTCATTGAAGCCATGACAGTAGGTGAGATTGCCTAGGCAGCGAATATAGAAATGAAAAAAAGGACATAAGGCAGAGCCTTGAAGATTTCCAACTTTTAAACTTTTTGTAGAGGAGGAAGACCCAAGCAGACATGTATTCTTCCCCTGAAGCCATTTAGAAAATATGACCATCTTGATTTTGTTTTTTTCCCATCTTGAACTTTTTCTTTTTGAGGAAGATTGCCTTGAGCTGACTTCTGCCGTCAGTCCTCTTTTTGCTGAGGAAGATTGTTGCTGAGGTTAACATCTGTGCCCACCTTACTCTATTTTATATGTGAGATGCCTGCCACAGCATGGCCTGATAAATGGTGTGTAGGTCTGCACCCAGCATCTGAACCAGTGAACCCTGGGCCGCCATAGTGGAGGGTGTGAACTTAACCGCTGTGCCACCAAGCCAACCACCCATGTTGGACTTTTACGATAGGTGGATGAACTCCAGTCTGTTTGATTAATTCTTTCTTTTTCTCATCTTCTTGTAGATTTGGACTGAGTATTTCTTTATGATTACATTTTCTTTCCACTATTATTTTGTTGGTTATACCACTTCCTAAATTTTGTTTTAGTGATTGCTCTAGGGTTTACCATACGCATAGTTTAAGACCTTTGTAAACTATATACTGTATACTTGTAATTCCTCGGACCCATCCTTTGTGCTACTGTTGTCATTCATTTTACTTTCACATGTTATAAACCCCATAATAAATTGTTGTATTTGCTTTAGTCAGTTATCTTTTAAAGGCATTATAAATAAGAAAAAGTGTCTTTTAAATTTACCTTCATTTTTACAATTTCTGAAACTCTTCATTTCTTTTTGTAGATCACGTTTCCATTTAGTGTCCTACTTCTGCCTGAAGAACTTCCTTATAAAATTGCCAGCCAACTGGCATTACAAGAAATGAATGCTTTCAGCTTTTGTTTGTCTGGAAGTCTTTATTTGCCTTCGTTTTTGAGAGATATTTTCACTATGTATAGAATTGACAGGTTTTTTTTCTTTTAGTGTTTTAAAGGTGTCTCTCTTGTCTTCTAACTTGGATAGTTTTTGAGACATCTGCTATAATTCTTGTCTTTATTCCTGTGTACATAATCTTTCTTTTTTTCTCTTGCTCTCTTCAAGATTTTCTCTTCATTTTGATTTTCAGCATTTCATTATAACGAATATATGTGTGTACATTTATAATTTATTGTGCTTGGTGTTCTCTGAAATTCTTACATCTGTGATTTGATGTCTTGCATTAATTTTGAAAGATTCTTGGCTGTTACTTCAGATTTTTCTTCTGCTGCATTCCTTTTCTCTTCTCCTTCTGAGACTTGAACCACAGTTCTTGGATGATCTGTTTGTTTTTAGTATTTATTTACATGTGTGCATGTGTGTGTGTATCAGTTTGGATAATTTCTTTTGATCCATCCTCAAGATATCTGAGCTTTTCCCTAGTTGTGTCCAGTCTACTGGTGAGCCCATCTAGGGAATTCTTTATCTTTGATCATGTTTTTTATGTCTGTCATATACATTTGACTCTTTCTTGTAGTTGCCACATCTCTGTTGAAATTTCTCTTCTCTTTATGCAAGTTGTCCACTTTTTTCTACTTGGTCCTTGAACTTCTTAGTCATAGTTATTTTAAATTTCTTGTCTGATAGTTGTAATACCTGAGTCATCTCTCAGTTGGGTGATTACTTTATCTCTTGAAGGTGGCATTTTTTCCCTGGCTTTTCTATATATCTTGCAGTTTTTGACTGAGTGCCAGATATATGAGTAGAAGAATGGTAGAGGTTGAGGTAAATAGTATGTATACCTGTAAAGGGACAACCATCTTTTTTCCCAGGCCATTTGTGCGAGGAGTTGAATCAATCGATCAGTAGTCGAGCTGGATTTGGGTTTTGTTGTTGATATCTTTACCTTCAGTATACCACAGACTTCACATTCCTCTAGCAGTAGGTTCCTTTTCCCTTGTGCTTGGAGTGAGGGGCTTGGGTGCTGTATGCTTTTCTCAGTTTTACAACTTTCTGTTTAGATTTTAGTTGTCTCTGCCCACCTTGCTACAGATGGGAGTCTGTCTCCCTGCTCCCATCCCTCCTCTGTCAGTAGACTATTACTGCTTATTATTCAATGCTAGGCTTGTGGTAGGGGCTACGGGTTTTCTCTGTTGTCTTGATCTAGCCTGTGTCTTACTAAGGCCCTTGGACTTGGGGGGTGGGGCTTTTTCAGTGTTTCTTCCCCTCAACCACACTAGCTTTGTATCTGTAGTTGCTTTTGGGTGGGAGTTTCTTGCCACTCCTCTGGTTGTAGCTGACCTTGACTTTAGGCGTGGTGTATTTGCATAGGATCCTGGGCCCAAGGTAGCTTCCGCTTGTCCCAGAGGTAAAAGGATTTTGCTTCTACCCTTACTCCATCAGTAGTAGATCTTTGCCTGTGTCCTGGGAAATGATTTCCTATCCTTCCCTAGAGATAGAAGGGTTTTGCTTCCATTCTTCCCTCAGAAGCAATCTTTGCCAAGTCCTATGGGTGAGACATTTTGCTGCCCCTACCTCAACGTTAAGTTTTTGCTTTGTAAGATCTATAGAAGATGATGGCACTTTTGTCTCCCACTGAAGCTGTCAGTTACCTTCTTCCTGTCTATGCCACAAAGGAGACTTTCTTTGGTCTCCTTTCTACCTCCAATCTTTCTTGTGAGCATATGGTGAAGGCCCATGGAGAAGAGCTTCGAGAGTGAGTGGGAACTTCCCTTGTGTCTGGAGACCTTGTTACTCTAAACTGACATACTTAGCCCATGCTTGGCCTTTCAAATTTTAGCTAATTTCTTGGATGCATGGATGATGGTCACCTCTTTCTCCCATACCTTGCCAAAAGGTGAGACAGTTTGTCCCCTTTCTCCTTGAATGGCCTTATCCCTGTTAGGAATTTCATTTGTTGGGCTGCCTTGCAACCTCAGCTCTCTGATGCAGCTCAAAAATAAGTATGATTTTTTTTTTTTTTTTGACTTACCTGTTGTTTTCTCATTGGGGGCAGGGGAGTCATCTTCCTTGTAGCTGTTTACATCCCAAGCAGAGGTAGAACTCACATTCATAAATTTTAAGTTGATGTTTTGGTAATAAGATAGCTTGGATTTATGTTCTGTAGTCATCTTTTAAAAACTTCTTTAATCCTGATATTGCCCCATGAGAGGAAAGTTTCAATGTAGACATTGTTGTTAGAGTTTTGAATTTTATATTAAAAATAAAATAGACATTATGCCAAAAAATGACACCCCCTCCCGAATTCTAAGTAAATGCAATTGGAGCCCCTGTCCACCAAATACCTGGCCATTTGTAATGAGCAAAATTATGGAATGGATTTTGGAGCATTTCATTAAGAAGTGGCCTTTGGGTATTTTCTGTAAAAATTGTGGCACAGTACTCCTTTTTCATGAAAAGATTTCCTATCTCACAGATTCTCCAGGTGCATTTTCCTGCCATCCAAGTTGGTTATTCTTTTAGGCTACGTTAAGGAACGTAGATGTTCTTTCTAACCGTCTGTAGCCAGTGTCTTCCCAGGTGGTTTTCCTTCCTACAGATTGTAGTGAGAACCTAATTGTCTTCTATATGCTCTTGTAATGGAGCAGTGAGTTTGTTTAAAAATTTTTTTAACTCGTTAAAAAGTGATAATACATATGCCTTGTAGATCATGTGAATATTGCAGGAAAAGAAATAGGAAAATAACCATCACCGATAATACCATTTAGAATAACTTAGCATTTTGCATTCTGGCTTTTTCTCAAGAATAAATAAACTAGTTAATAAATGCATATCATAACAACTAGAAGGACCTACAAATAAAATATACAACTATGTATTGGGGGGCTTTGGGGCCAAAAAGCAGGAAAAAAATTAAAAAAATAAATGCATATCACAATTAAGAAGTCATCATATGTATGCAATTTTATATTTGGCATCTAATATTTAATGTTAATTATACGCATCTTCCTACATCATTAAAAGGTCTTAATAAGCATTTAAAATAGGACATATATATTCCATTTTTTTGAGTTTTGTAAAATCTGCTAGAAGCTATCTTTTCTAATAACTTCCGTTTGCAGCATTTATAATTTGAAAATTAGAAAGGTTTAAATTTTAAGCTCATTTTAAAAGCTTATTCCATTTGTACTTGTATTCCAATGTATAGAGATATTTAGTTTTCTGATTTGTTTTTAAAGGAGGGTTTTGTTCTTTGGATTCTGATGACCCTATGGCTTTTCTTTTTTAATTTCAGAATTCCATACGACATAATCTGTCGCTGAACAAATGTTTCCTTAAAGTGCCTCGATCCAAGGATGACCCTGGAAAGGTAGGATTCGTTTTCTTAAGATAAAATAATTGGATTCTTCATTATATCTGTTGTCTTGTTTGAATCTGAGTTATATCTTTTGCATAAAGAAAAAGAACTGGAATGAGAGCATTCAAGAACTTGTCTACTTCATTGATCAGGAACCTTTTTGAAATAGCAAGTCCTCCTTCACCCCATCTACTCCACCCCACCCCATCCCACTCCCATTATAGTTGGTATGCTTCAAGAACCAGCTAGGCAGGGATAGCTTGCTTCTTTTTTTTTTGATGAGGAAGATTCTCCCTGAGCTAACATCCATTGCCAATCTTCCTCTTTTTTCTGCTTGAAGAAGATTAGCCCTGAGCTAATATCTGTGCTAATCCTCCTCTTTTGTTTGTGGGATGCCTCCACAGCATGGCTGATGAGTGGAGTAGGTCCACGCTGGGGATCTGAACTGGCGAGTCCGGGCCACTGAAACAGAGCATGCAGAACTTGAACCACTCAGCCATGACCCTGGGGAGAGCTTTCTTTTTAAACGGTGGGAAGCTGACTTAGTGTAGAGCTGGTCTTCTGTTATAGTTGTCTGTTTCTAATCTGGTTTTTGTTTGGTTATCTTCTTACATGTTGTATATTAAAGTTGGTTTTTGAACTGCATGTCAGGAACCACAGTTTATTGATTATTACATATAAGAAGTGGAACTATGCGTAATTGACAACAAATGGAGGTAATTCTTACCCTGAAATAAAACTTTTTCTATTTTCCTGTTTTCTTAGTTGCTGTTTTTTCCTCTTCATTCATCTTCTGCCACCATTACATTTTTAGTATTTTGTCTACAGAGATGTCCTTGTTTTTATTTTAATAGCCATGTCAACTGCATTGTGGCCTGAACTTGATACTAGTTGCTTAGTTTCTAATGCTCAGAGTACTTTTTTGGACTATATTTGGTTGTCATGATAAATCATTAGGTTAGGACTTTTGAGACAGTGTATCTGTTGGCAAGCACGTATTCTTAGATGGTTAGACTTCCTGTCATCTTCTTTAGGCTAACTGTCCCTGGAAAAATCTTTCTGAAACGTAAGCGTGGTCATATCGTCGTCTTGCTTGAAAGTACTCCCCAGTGTCCTGGAGATATTTCTTTGGTATAAAATACCCTTTACTATCTTTTCTTGGATCTGCCTTTCTAGCTGTGATTCACTTCATTCAAGACCCACTGTGAGGAACCTACTTGAAATTTCCCCAACATGCGTTTCATATTGCCTTCTCTTGTTGCACAAACTCCTTCCCTTTACTTGTTTGGCCTACTCCTTATTTTTTAAGATGGAACTGCAGCATTACTTCTCTGAAGCTCTTTTGTTTCCACATCCTTCAGCCCAGTTTGTTGTTCCCTCTTTTGAGTTCCTGTTACTTTATCATCACTGTAGTACCTCCTAACTAGTGTCTCTATCCTTGGGTATACTACCTCCAGTTTATGTAACTTTCACATAGTAGCTAGCGATCTTTCAGAAATGTCAACCTAATTGTATGTTTTCTTTGTTTAAAATCTTCATTGGTTATCTACTGCCTTTAGGTTAAAGTCTAAACTTATGAGGGCAGGGATCATGTATATCTTGTTCACTTTTTAGCCCCAGTTTCTTGCACAGTGGCTGGTGGCACTGAGGAGACACTCTTATTGAATGAATGAATGTATTATATCCTCTGCTAGATGGTTAACTTCTTGAGGTTAGAGATGATGGAGAGTTATTCATTTCTATTGTAAAGCAAGCACTCTTTTTTTTTTTTTTTTTTTAAGATTGGCACCTGGACTAACAACTGTTGCCAATCTTTTTTTTTTTTTTCCTGCTTTATCTCCCCAACCCCCCCCCCCGTACACAGTTGTATATCTTAGTTGCAGGTCCTTCTAGTTGTGGGATGTGGGACGCTGCCTTAATGTGGCCTGATGAGCGGTGCCGTGTCCATGCTCAGGATCTGAACCCTGGGCCGCCGCAGCGGAGCACGCGAACTTAACCACTCGGCCACAGAGCCAGCCCCGCAGGCACTCTTAAATAATGAATGTTTTATAGCACCTTCTATGATCTCCCCCATCAAGTTGGTTCTCAATAAGATTAAATAGATTATTAAATAGTCTTCTTATTTGACCCAATTTATTATTTGTCTGTGTTCATAACTCTCCAAGGTTGTGAATAGGAATTGGTAAAATTTTTCTTTCCTTTAAAGCAGGCTTATTATAACTTTTGATATTTGTTTCATTAACGATTTCCTGTGGGCAGTGAATGTGTAAGAATCTGACTGAAAATGTTCTTAGAAGAGTTTAGAGATTATCTGTTTTATTAGAATTCTATGAAGGTACAAATTGGAATCTGTAAACATTTGGTTCAGATTTAATTTTTTTTTAAGGTATGCTTTTTTGCTGAGGAAGCTTAGCTCTGAGCTAACATCTGTTGCCAGTCTTCCTCCTTTTTTCGTTTCCTCCCCAGAGCCCTGGTACATAGTTATGTATCCTAGTTGTAGGCCATTCTAGTTCTTCTGTGTGGGATGCCACCACAGCATAGTTTGATGAGCAGTGCGTAGGTCTGTGCCCAGGATCCGGACTGGTGAACCCTGGGCCGCTGAAGCGGAGCGTGTGAACTTAACCGTTCAGCCATGGGGCTGGCCCTAGATTTAATTTTTAAATGAGGTTTAAATCATTTAAAAAAACCCACACATGAATGCTTAAGTATGTTATGTACTAACTTTTAACCAGTCAGAGACCTATTTAGAGAACCTTGTGCTGTCAGATTTTCTTTTGTGCAGAATTTAAAGATTTTCTTCACTTTTAATTAAATAATATCCTTGGATCAGGCAGATGTGGAAAACATATGTTACTCTCTTTGCCGCTATTCTTTTTGAATTAGGATTGTCTTACTAATGTGCACCCAAAACAAAACAGAGAAATAAGTTAATTCCTTAGAAGTTAATAAAAGCTTTCAACTTTTACCATTAGTCTCCAATTTGAACATTTTGCTTTTATCAAAACACATTGTTCTCATTGATTTTGTTCATAATAGTAAATATCATACATTTGATCTGACAAAGTACATTTATATTAATAGTCACTTTTATTTTCAGTTTTAAGGTGAGATTTAAATACCTATTGTTACTGATTTTGGTCAGAAGTAAATGTAAATCTGATCTTATAAAATATTTTTATGAATAAAGTCATTTTAATTTTTGATGTCAAAATAAGATTTTTGTTTAAAAGGTTTTGAAAACCTCAAACCTAGCCCATTTTATAGAAGGGGAAATGAAGGCCAATAAATGATGAATGACTTGCCCAGGTTCAGTGTGGAATTAGAACCCAAGTGTATTGGCCAGACTTACTTCCAAGTCACAGAAACCCATTACAGACCAACTTAAGGGAGAAAAACATCTGCAGGAAAAGCTGGAGCCTGGCTCTTAAATGTGTCACCAGGAATGTCTCTTTACATCCTTATTTCTGCTGGCTTCTCTCAAGGCTTCATTTTTAGCCCAATTAGTGGCAGAGATGGCCATCAGCAGCTTCTGGCTTATATTCTACTAGTTTAACAACCCTTAGCAGAAAGAGAGTATTTGTTGTCCTCCCCTACAAGTCACCTGGAGTACAGCAAGTATCTTAGAATGAATGCTGAAAAAGCAGAATACATTTGGTTTCCTGGTTCCTAGACTAGTGCTTTTTCCACTATATCAATCTTCCTTGAGAGGGAGGCCAAAATGTTAGTTAAGTTTTGGTACTTATGAATTGTTTTTTCTTTTTGTATTACAGTGTTTCCTGGCATTTGAGGAGCTTTTCCAAAACCACCCTCACCATTGGGAGAAAACCATTGAGCCAAGGTGGGGTGGGAGTAGTTTTGGATCTTGGGTATGGGGTGGACTTTAACCCCTTAGGATTTTGCTAGCTGCTGCCATGACCCAGACAGGTCCAAGAGGTACAGGTAGAAGTAGCTCATATAGTAGCATCTTCCTCATATTTTTATGGTGTAGCTTCCTGTTTGGTGTCTTACCAGAGGGATATGAAGGCCAGCCTAAACTTGAAGAGTATTGCTGAATTATAGATTTTTTTTTATGGCTATATTACTCATGACTCAGTCCTTCATTTTTTAGAAGCCTTTGTTGGAAAAGCCCTTAATCTTTGATACCCTCCCTTGTAACGTTGATGGTCTGAAATCCGTTTTCCTCTGTTTTCTGAAACTAATTTCAAACAGCCACATTATTGCCTTTTTTAAAAGGAAACACAACAAAATGAAATTGTATTTTGCGTCCATCACACTACTGCTTTTTTTGGGGACAGATTGCTATTTTCTTTTCCCTTGATTACAAACCTGTTTCTGCATCCCGCAGTCTATCTCCATTTTTTAATTCCTGTCTTTTATCTCCTCTCTTCTCATTAGCTATATTTTCTGGACTTTTGATCTCATTTTTTTTGGTAAAAGTTGTGTAATTCTGCAACTCATACATGCCTCTTAATTATCTTAAAGGAAGGTAAATATTTTACTCACATTATGGAAAAACAAATTCTGTCAGCTAAGTTTAGTTTTGAAAAATAGGTAAAGTTCTCTTTCTTTGCTTTCCAGCTTAATCTTTTCTCAACCTTGTTCCCTCTACTCCAGCTCAGAAAAATGAAACTTTGACTTTTTAAAGGAAGTAAAAGATTAGGGAAGAGATTTTTTTTTTAAAGCTGTTTCTTGCCCAGGGATGGGGAGGTTGTAAAGACTCAGTGACTGTCAAGATTGGGATCTCCTGGTTTGTGAGGAAACAGCGAACTCACTGCTAGAGAATTAACTTTTGGAATTCTGAGATTGTGATTTTTTTCTATTTCTGTCCTCTGTCATAGTTTAAGGGACCATAACATAATTGACTAATCTCTTTTTTTCAAAGGATATTCTTTTTTGGCCATGTCAGTATTGTGTTGTACTTATTTGTAAACTGTCAATTATTTGTTGGTATCTTGTTTTCGTCACTGTATTTGTAAAAAGATAGACAAAAACTGGAGAGATTTGAGAGAACG